GTAGGATACTTACATACACTAGCGTGGGCTGCGCACCGCATCGAACACCCTTCCTAGACCCCTACACTACACTCGCCAAGTAGATGCGTCGTCTGTGTGGAATTGGTCACCGATTCTTTGCCACCGGATTCGTCCCACGATGCCGCCGTACCACCCCCTCCCTGCCGTCCCCGGCGATCGGAGGGGGGCGCGAACGGGGGCCAACCCATGAACCCATGGGACCCGGTTGAAGCTCATTCACGTAAAGCCAAGAGTCCGCGGAGGTGAAGCTGAATAATAAGCTTATGACTAACACCTACGAATATATATATATTTGCATGTAGAACGGGCGTAGAAGGCAGAATAACAAGAAATCGATTCCGGGGTCGGAGGTCGGTGGCGTGGGTGGGGTCGCTTCATGTGAGGATGGAGAGCGAGATGGGTAGGCCAATGGAGATGAATACACTGTACGGATGAGGGCCTCCAATTTTTTATCTTTTACCTACGTTGGCTAGGCATTACTACTAGACTATGCTCCAAGAGGTGGACATCCAGGTTATTTTTGGGGTGGGAGAGGAGGTGGAGGGTGAGGTTGGAGAGGGGTGGGAGACAGCTCCAAACACGCCTGTTTTGCACTTCGTATTGAACAGTATGTTTCTTTAGACACAGGCAATGTATGAATTTACACCAAGTTACAGCCAGCAAGTCTTGGCTTGGGGGAGAAGAATCACCCGCCGTTCGCTGCATCTTCTCGCGAGGGGGGCCAACCTCGAGTTCGGTTGTTGGAGAGCACACGGTTGGCCAAAGGTTGAACAAAGAACTTACATGGGGCAGTCGCCGATTTACCACATAAGGAAGAAGGGTGTGATATTGCGTCACCGATGGCTGGGGAGCCAAGAGAATAGCGTCGCCTTTTGACTGGTTCCATGGGAACTGTTAGCCGAATTCGGGGCCCCTGTTCACCAAACTCGACCATTATTAGTGCAGACGACGGGCGATTGAGCCACCGCAGGGTCCTTACAGGGTTAGGGGAGAGTGGACGATTTCGCCAAGCTTTATTACTCCGTAGTCTACCTAATCTTGCTTTGTACACTATTCTACTCCAAGCAAGAAAAAAGGCGTTCGCTTCGAGAGGGGTTCATGGAGGAAGGGGGTTTGCTTTTCTTCGTCCCTGCGTGCGGGGAGCATCAATTTTCTCTCCTTCTCCTGCCCGTCTCGAAGCGCCCCGATGTACATTCTTTTAAAGAAAAATTGCTTGGCATTTTCTTTTCTCGATTCTTCATCCCGGGCACCCCCTCTCTTCCGCGCCGGAGAGGGGGCCAAGTTCGCCCCGCGAATAGGCGGGCAAGGTTGGCGATATGGCATCATCCAAGCTATTGAGTGTTCTCGTGAGGGTATAGGAAGCGAATACTCTTAGGTAAGAGGAAGGAATCTACGGAGGAGATTGGGATGTGGGTTTCTTGTGCCTTTCATCAGCTCCGAGATTCCGCTCGACGGCTTCGGGGGGTTTCGGGGCTTCCTTGACCGTCTATTCTTGTTGGCGATCCGGGTCCCTCTGGTTGTAGCTTGTACTCTTTCCCCATGACGGAATTGGTCAATGATGAGTTGCTGCAGCTTACACTACGGGGGGTTTCAATCTACTAATACAATCAATGATGACATGATGCGGCGGGGGTTGGTCGGTCTTGGGGGCCACTCTCGGTCTGTATGTCCCTGACGATCACAGTCGCTCGCTTTGCCAGGATACTTTCACTCTCGGTCTGGGAGGGACAGTCTGGCCGCCTTGTCTGTGACATGTTGTCTCTACTTCGTACCACACTACGAAGTACGCTAAAGAACTGGGGCCAGAATCACTTACCATCCGTCATTGCAATTGGTATGTAATTGGTGTGTGGGCGTAGATGGGGCTCAACTTAATGGAACTTAATGGAGTATGGTAGATGTAAATTTGGGCTAAATGATGATGAGAGAAGTTGCTTTTTAACTTTTATGATTATTCCCCAGTTCTCTCTTAGGAACTAGACTTCGGAAGGATCGAATCTCGCATCAATTGATCGATGGCGGAAATCTGGAAAAGCTCAGCTGAGTTGGAACCAAGAACCAAGGATCAAGGGCCAGCACCAAAACATGCGCCAGAGCCAGAATCCGATGCATCGATATATCACTTCTCACTTAAGAAAAACCCGCCAAGAAAATTTTAGGTCACCCGCGAAGAGCTCAAGGGGAGAAGCTAACACGCCCTCCACACAATCCTGAAGATCGGTGGGTCCGAAGAGCTAGGGCTGCTTGTTCCATCCTCTTCCTTCACCGAGGCCCTGGATCACCCGGTAAATAGTTTGGGCAATATTGAATTTGCCTTGGCTGGTCCAGCCATTTTTGCCCTTGATGCTTCGTAATAATTGTTAACGAGCACACAGACCAAACGGCGACTACCACCCACCCCTTTTGATCCCTTCATCGTTTCACTCAAAACTCCAGTTGGAGGGAACACGATCTTGGTTGGCGCGCTATGGTTGGGGTACTACGCTAAAAGGCTTGTATGACGCCGGGCATTCCCTGATTAACACAGACCGCCTCAAGCGATGGGGTCGGGGGAAAGGGGGGCGTGTTGTGGACTGGACAGGAAACACAGGGATGGATACTACACTACTTGGTCGGGATAGGTTTGTGATCGATCTTTGGTTCGCCCTCCAGCCTTGGGGAAGCCGGCATTTCCCTTTTCCTTTCATCCCGTTCGAGGAACGGGAGATGACGGTATGTCGGAAATTCATGTTGAGTTATAGCCGTCGCGCTAGACTGTTGAGGGAGCAAAGGAGGGGGGAGGGGGAAGGAGGAAGAGGAGGGGAAGGAGGAATATCATCGGCATCCGAGGCGGAGGGGCAGCTCTCTGCCGGAGGTAGGAAATGCGAAAACCGTTGGGACCGCCCGGCAGCTCGGCTGGAGATCGCCCTTTGCCTTCTCCACTTTCGATTCTCATTGCCTTGTTTTGGTTTTAGCTTTTCTCTTCCTTTTCTTCATTTTCTGATTTTCTTTGGTTGTGATTACCCCCTTTTTTTTTTCCCACGACCTTTCCGCGAGAAAGGGGGGGTGGACTTTGCTGGAAAGTTCAATTGGCTTTCGGTGTTCGATGATGGAGTGGGCCTTTGGCCGATAAACTGGAGCCTTTTCTACGGGTAGTCTGGTGCGCACGCTACGGGCGGCTAGGGTTGACCCAGAGTCCCAGACCGCCAAACACGGGTTTGAGACCAAATGGCGATTGTGATTCCCACTTATTCTCCTCCGCTCACCTGTCCCCATCGCGTTTCCCTTCCGCGCTCTGGGAGATATCGGGATTCGGAGCATCGGGCTGTGAACCAGAAAATGCAATGCCGAGGAGGTGTGGATATTCAGCGAGAGCAAAGAACGTCATCGTGGATTTCGTGGCTGTCGGTAGAGAGCCAGAATTTGCTTTTTCTGCCTTGGGCTAATTAGCCTTGCCTCACTTTCCGGCTCTCCCATGAACGGAAGCTGCTGCTGCTGTGGTGCTCCTCATCTCATTTCCTGGGCTCCCCATTGAAGGACTGGACTAATCCTATACCAGGGTTTGAAATGTTATTTTGAGACCACATGATCTATCTCCTGACAGGTACTAAATAAGTATTTTTAAATATAAATTATTAGAGGATATACCTTTATAAAACTTGATCTAAGATATACCCGGTGGTGGCGAGCATCTCTCGATTTAACATTTCAAACCCTGGTATAGGATTACACTACGCTACACTAGGCACTCGGCATGGTGCCATAGCCCTCCCATTCCCAAAGGAATCTGAAGTTGGCCATTTCCTAAAACGGGAGGAGGACCAAATCGCCAGGCTGGCAGCAGCCGCTGGTGAGATGGGTCTAGCGGTCAAGCGGTCTACCAGCATGATATCAATGTCGGAGACATAGGAAAGAAGCCTATGGCGATAGCTTCTGTGGAGATTCCTCCTGAGCCTTAGAAGCACGTAAGTGGATACGAGCGGGATGATTTTTTTGAGTTGTTCTGCGGCGTGGGATGACGGATTACGATGCTTCCATGGATTGGTGATTGCATTGGTGCAAGATGCACGACGGCATTTCGCGGCCCTCGCGATGATGTGTTGTTTGTATGACCAGACCATGTAAGATTCAAACGCCGGACTGATCGGGAGTCTTCGCGATCTACAGAGCACGAAATATCGAGTCAATCTCTTGAGGCGCATAAGATTTGATGCACGAGAAGCATTGCTTTGGGATAGGACGCCAGTAATTGGAAATGACGGGGACCCAGAGAGTGGGGACTCGTGGAAGATGGAACCCGGCTGGACTCCTTTCTAGAAGAGGCCCCATCTTCTTCTGTACACTACTACTTTCGTATCCTTGATGTTTCGTGCTCGGAGGTTTGACGATCGACGGTGATTAAATTGATGCGATAGAATGGGGGTTATCTCGAGTGGCTCTGATCTAGCATCCCGAGGAAGCCGAGATCTAGTGTAGGACGCCGGAGAACGTCGGCGTCTTTGCGACCCACATGCAACTGTGTGTTGTTGTCTCTTCCTCGTCTGGACCCTGTCCTCTGCCCTATGTACGAAGGAGCTGTGATGGCTTCAATGTTGATATCGGTGTACGAAGTTGAGCGTCAATCGATCCTGTTTTAGCTGTCTAACTCAGCACGATAGTTTTCCCTTTTTAACGATATTACTTACACATGGTAACGGTCTTGGTCTGTCTGAGATGAGACTAGTCAGATATTCTTGCGATGTAACCGATCACGTCAGAATGGATTACCACATGCTGCACTTGATGACAGCTGGAGTCACTGCTTCCAACAACATCACTTCACGAAGAGTCAAACCCATTTCCACGTTTGAGAAAGGGGATCGCGGGAGATCTATGCTAGAGATTTGCATCTTCTAAATGAGCATAATTCATCTACTATTATCATAATCTTTAAGATTTATCATATTTTTATACATTTTGCGTCTGACCCGGTGCTTGCCGAGTCGTGATCCGAGGTGACGATGGCTGGAAATGGCACGAGACCGTAAGACACCTCCTGGATCGACACCCATCTCCGGAGATTCAAGTGAGAGTGCCGTACCGGGCCGGCTTTATGCTAACCTTTCGGCCCCTCATAGTCCCGTTCATATCATTTTCATCGGCGCCGGCGCCGTTGGCTGCTTCTACGCATCCCGCCTCCACCACGTAAGTTGCCACCACCCCCACGAAGTCCTCATCCCATATACATGTCCTTCATCACCAGCTAACCCTTCCTCATCTCCTTCCAGCCTGATAATGGCGTCCACGTATCCCTCGTGGCCCGCTCAAACTACGCCACCATCCGAAAGGACGGCGTGAAAATGGAAACCCACTCCTTCGGGGACTACCTCTTCCGCCCTCACGCCGTGTATCCCTCCGCCGATGCCGCGGCGAAGGACGCCAGCCAAAACGGCCACGGCTGGGACTACGTCGTCGTGACGACCAAAGCCCTCCCCGAGCGCAACGACGGCTCGGCCCTCATCCAGCCCCTAGTCGGCCCCAAGACCGTCATCGTCATCATCCAGAATGGCGTTGGCGTCGAGGCCCCCTATCGGACGAGGTTCCCCCCTAACCCTATCGTGAGCGCTGTGACGGTTATCAGCGCCGAGCAGAAGGCTCTGGGCGTGATCCGTCAGAACCGATGGACGCGGATCAGCATCGGTCCGTACACGGACGGCAAGGGAACCGGCGACGCGGAGGTCTCCCGCCTCGGAGAGCAGGCCGTCAAGGACCTCTCGTACTGGTGGGGCGACCTCGGCGGCATCAGGGACGTCGACCCGCACGACGAGGTTGATTTGCAGCTGGTCAGGTGGCACAAGCTGTGCATCAACTCGGCCATGAATCCCTCGGCGGTGCTCTCGGGCGGACGGGGCAACGCCGATATGGTCATGGACCCGGAGCTCCGCGAGCACCTCAAGGGTGTCATGGATGAGATCCGCGACGCCATGCCCAAGATCCTCGGGAAGCCTTTCCCCGAGTCTCTGGCGACGCCGGAGCGCATCATCAAGAGTACCGAGAGGAATACGGGCAGTAAGCCGAGCATGCTGCTGGACTGGGAGGCGGGTCGGCCGATGGAGTTGGAGGTGATTTTGGGGAATCCTGTGAGGATTGCGAGGGAGAGGGGGGTTAGTTTGCCGAGGATGCAGACTTTGTATGCGCTTTTGAGGAGTGCGCAGGCGACGAGGGAGAAGGCGAAGGCTGGTGAGAAGGGGAGGCTCTGAGGGGTGGTGGAGTAGGTCATTTTTGTCATGTAGGGAGGATCTTTTCTTTTCTCGATGAGGCAAGGGGATTGCGTGATTATGAAACTCTGGGAGAAAGGAGAGACATCGATCGAGCGAAGCCCCTTTTTTGGATGGAATGAACTTGCCACGGCGACGAGAGATAGAATCTAGTCAACTAGAAATATACACGGCTGAAACAGCGGTAGAGGTCCTATCAATGCAGCAGGCTCTCTAGGATCCAGGCCCAAGGATCACGGTATGGTGCTGTGGTCTGAGAAACGGAAAAAAGAGGGTGCTCTCGGTGTCGAGGAGACGACCGCACAGGTTTCTTCGTCTTTTCTTTCTCTCAACTTGGTTCAGCAACATCATACCATGGGCGTTTTATCAGTCTTCGAGACCTATTATCTTACTATTGTCTAGTGTCGACGATGTCTTATGTGTATTGTGTCATCCTTGCAACAGTATCCCTTACTTGGCGCTCCAATTCTGTCTGTAGCGTCTTCTTACGATATTTCTTTTCTCTTTCCATTCGTCAACAGCCCCGACGGCCTTTCGAACTCTTCGGAAGGTTGTGGCAGTTTTCGGAAATGTTCGATACTTAGCCACTGACCATTCGGCCATTCTGTCGTTCTCTTTATTCTTGTTCTAGCTAGTGAGACTGCAACGGCCCGTCTGACTGTGAGATGTCCATCTGAGAAGGAGAGCTACCGCGCTGGCGCTTTCAGAATATCTCGGATTACCATGTGTAACATTAGGATGCAGTTAGATGCATGGAAGTTCAAGGCGAGAGGGATTGCCATAGAGCCCAAGGTATCGCTTGTAGTTGAAGAATTGGCAGTCCATATGTCCCCGTTTATGATGAATCCTGTTCATTCTTAGGTTGTTGACGCCAATTTCACAACTGGGTTTAGGGGTTGCCACAGGTTATTGAACGTGATTTGATCCAAGGCTTATTGGATAAAACATGCTGTTTGTGAACATGAACTTCGGCGGCACTCCCTCAGCGAGGCTTAGCATGAGGTCTGGCAGTATCAGAGGGAAGTAATGAGCAAGACAACAAAAACTCCGAAGATGGGGTTTCGAATCACGATTACCTACCGGAAGCTACATGCAATCCCCATCTAAGTGGAGTACTCTTCAAGATAGCATCAGTTTGAGCCGCAAGGTGATGGTGATTCTGTTCCAAATCTAAGGAGGGGGGGCTCTTCAAAGGGAAATTCCCAGGACGTGAGATGGATGCTTGAGATGTGCCTCGGTTGTGAGTTGGTGTCGGCAACTGGATGGAATATTCAAGGGTATTTCGCTTCGCCGCGCCATTGTATCACCTTCCCAGTCAAGTACGTTGTTGCGTTGGAGCTGGAGTTCTGACTGCCTCCTTGATCTTAGGTTGAGCTAAGGATAACCTCCAACACATTTGAAGCGTTCGCGTCGAGGGCGGTCGCTTGGACGTAGATGTGGGTTCAGGTGCCACATACCTCACTGTCCATCCTGTTTAGGATGAATACGTTCTTTTCTATTTGAAAGGGGATGAGAAGGGCGAAGTCTAGGAACGTCTGCCGCGTGAGGGATAGCTATCCAACAGTCTCCGAGTTTCCCGATTTATCTACTGACATACTTTATGAGCCAGATGTTTCCTTGCTTTTTCCCCCTAGTATTAGGAATAGGTGATTGAGAACCTTGCTCATGCGCAGCCATGCGAGGGACGCGCGATGATGGCGCCGATGTGGAATGTCACCCTTGGAGCCGTGGACAAAAAGTTGGGGATTCATGCTGCGTAGTCGTTCGACCTTATTCCCATTTATCATCACCGAGAACGTATTAGTAAAGGGGCATTCCAAAGGGAGGCTCGTAACCAGAATGATCATCGGGTGGCTTGTAGCTAGTCTATTCACTTGGGGAAAGGGGCGTTACTCTTGGCCGACTTGGAGGACTTTTGTCTGGTCTCAATGACAGCATGGGCTTCCCTCGGTCTAAGTAATGCGACTTTAGAATCGTGCTAACACTTCGTGGTGTCAGTGTTTAACGGCTTCATATCGAACGCTTACGGCTCCCGGGCCGGTAGATCTTCAGGGTCATCATTTTATTACTGGATATTGAGAAACATTAATGCTTGAGGTGCCTCCAGACCCAATGGAGAATGTTCACTTTTTGACGGACTGCTGCGGATGACAAGACGTGTATCAAATCTTCGCCTTGGTGATATCTATCGGTTCTCTCCTTCGAGCATCATAGAAGTGTGAGAAGTAAGAGACGATACGCCTGGGAGAACTAGAAGCACACGTCCATCTCACCCATTTCAGTTCGAAGAAGCCAATCCCTTACATCTCGATATATCAAACTACGTTACTGTCTCCAGGACTGGAACTTGACTGTTCAAGGTTCCACGATCACATTGATACCGGTCCACCAGAGAAAAGAGTACTATTGTACTCTCTTTATACGAGGGTTGACTTACTTGACTTGCTCGACTGTCCATTATATCCAAGGCAAATTTTGGAATTTATGGAGAAAAATATACTAACACAAAAATTAAGTTACGTTAAAACCCCTTTCAGTTTAAGGTTTCAGAGTGGACTTCTCTTCTGCAGCATTCTTATTCTTATTAGTACTAGTGCCAGCAAAGTTTCTTGGATAGCTCGAGAGATCCTTGAATTCTTGAATATCAGGGGACCCCAAAGGGACTTCTTAGTCGGACCCCTTCGTGTTTATTTGTCGATGATCTCGGGGATACGACTAATCGATTCCGTGGCAAGGGTGTAGTTACTTCGTATGCTTTATCTACCGAGGTCATCGATATCAATCGTATCGAGGAAGGGGTCTAGGGGACCGAGACATTTGGAATCTGTATGAATCCATGTTACAGACACTTGATATTGTCGTCGTTTCGCTCCCTAGTTTCTCGATGCTGCCCGCCGCGGAGAAAGGGCAATCGAAACCGAAACGACGGGCTTCCCGACCCTTAAGCCTTACCTTAAATCAAAGTGACTGGGCTTTCATTTATGGTTCCCTGCCCTTTCGTTCTATGGTGTCTCTTTAAGCTACGAACGATGGTGAGAAACGGCCAATCATTTCCAGAACGAGGGTGTCCGCAAGACCCCGGAGCATGTCCTCCCACGGGCCGCATTTCCCTCCTTCACAAACCGGAAGCCTCCGCACACCTTGATTGAGGTACACTATGCCAGACAGCCGGAAAGGTCAAAAAGGCGAACAGCGACGATGGCATGCCGAGGGTTGCCGTTTCATTAGCCAAGGGGAGGGAAAGACAAGAACAAGCCACTCCATCTTCAGCCATCGAAGTTGTGGCTTACCACTAGATATATGGAATCACACACTTATCCACCTCGTAGATTACGTTCTCGAGCTTCTTGGTCTCTCAAAGTGCGGCTCTTGAATCCTAGTGGATAGCCGGTAGTAAAGTTTGGGTCCTCGACTTCTTCCCCTCTTCCCTAAAGAGGGGGGATAATGGGGATAGGGTGATCAATAATCCTGTATCCAAATGATTTTAGTCAAGGCCCACTTTCAGTGAGCATTCTAGCAGAGATGTTGAGTTTATAAGCTAAGCTGTAAGGGCCATTTGTCTTCAGATTGTCTGGTGCCCGAGCCTGTCTGTCGATCGGGGTCTTGAGTTCCTCAGGCTTCACAGTGTCGATGCGTTTAATTCGATACGATACAAAGCCAACCTTGATGTTCTGGGTCGCTCTTGCTGTCGGTGGCAGGGCGCCGGTTCACTGTTCACTGTACTTTGTACTTCTGTACTTTTATACTTACACCAGAGACCAGAGACATTGTCTCGGATCCGTGATACACTCCAGGCTGCAGCTGACAACCAACATCTGAACGCTCTCAACATGTGACATCCAACGGCCCCGAGTTCCCCGAATAAAGTTGAACCAGTGCAGGAACTTTGAGCCGTGTGTTGGACTTGCCCAGTGATGGCCGGTTTAGCTTGACCCGCCTCCTCCTCCTTCCTTGTTCCCCTCCGCCTTCAACCAAGTACAAGTGTACAAGTAGTCAGAACTAACACGCCATCGTGGCTTCTCCAGCACCCTTCGTGCGCCTTAACGCTGTTCCATCTCCACAGCACTTGAGCGTTTCATAAAAAGTGATTTGTGTTTCCCATTCTCCATTTGCCTCCATTATTCGCGTTCTTTCCTTCTAGCTGTCCGCGGACATAAGTGCCCGATCCATCAAGGCCAAAGCTTTTCGCTCGATCAAGCTCTGCAAGCGCCTATCGCCGAAAGCGGGAGGAGCTACTAGCTTCCTTGGAGTGACAGTGGCAACACCTTCCAACTCAAATTATCATGGCAACTGTGATAGCATCGCTCCGTGGCAGGTAGTAGCATGAGAAAAATCAGAAAAAGTCGCCTGGAAATATCTATATGGTAATGCGGGGCTTGCTCACCGGTCCAAAGACTACCTTATACACCTCTCCCCCCAATAACATCTCGGAGGTTTCACTGCTTCTTTTGCTGTTTTTACTTGGTTTTTCTTTGTGAAACCGCCTCTCACTCTTGGCTCGGCCTACCCTCTTCCATGAGACCGGATCACCTCCAAGTCACCTAGCTTCGCCAAGCCGGATCCTCAACGTTGGCTGGTGCTGCACTGTTCACCACTGGCATCTGACGAGACATGGCCGACCATACAACAGAAGCATTTCCGAGACCACAATTCCACCGCGAGGCCTCATTCCGGCAGCTGGAACAGCTGCCAGCTCGCGGGGGTGCAGACTCCGTACCACCTGCGAGCCCTGCTGGCGATATGCGCATGCTCCGGCGTCCATCCCGGTGTATGAGCACGAGTTCAGATTACTTCTCTTCCGATACTCAGGATAGGATTTTCCCAATTGCTTCTGTAGTGAGGGTAGATTCTAGGGCTAGCCTCAGGAGCCTTGGACAAAACGTCTCAGATGAGAACCAGCCATCTCCTTCTCCCTTTCAGCGCCGGTTCTCGTACGCCTCCTCGACATCGACATCCCAAAACCCCCCGGGTACTCTGGATACCACTTCTCACAATCCCAAATCCACTCCCATCTCAAATCCTGCTACCTCCAGCCTTGCCAGCTCTTCCCACGATGTTCCTCTCGGCAGTACGCCTGCGACCTCCTGGGCGACCAATTCGGCGGCCGATACCAGCACTGGATCGCAATCGCCTTCTGCTGCTTCCCTTCCGATACACATCCAAGTGCCCGGAACCACAGTTTCTTCCAAGATGATCGATATATCGAAACCATTCTCGTCGCCTACGCTTGAGGGCCGCGAATATGATGGATTTCCTATGACGAATCTTTTTGATCACATCGTTACCGACAGTGGCCATGCCATCAGGACCGGACGCGAGAAGGGGTTACTCCGTTGTGAGGATGAGCCTATCCAAGCTCCCGGTGCCGTCCAAGCCTTCGGTGTCCTTGTCGCTTTCAAAGAAGAGGAAGAAGGTCGCCTCGTAGTGCGCCTAGTGAGTGAGAACTCGGAGCGCTTAATGGGTTACAGTCCACAACAACTTTTCCAGCTCGAAAATTTCCTGGATATCTTCAGCGAAGACCAACAGGAGAGTCTTCTTGCTCATGTTGAATTTGTTCGCGACGAATCTACCGACCTCACACTCAGCGGACCCGAGATTTTCACTATTTGGGTAAAGCACCCCGGGGGCAACTCTGTGAAGTTTTGGTGTGCGATCCATATGAACCCCACCGAACCTGACCTTGTCATCTGCGAATTCGAGAGAGAAAATGACCCCGATTACCCTCTTCGCCCTGCCGATATTACCCCACCTCCAGAACCCCGGAATATGCTCTTCAACGAATATACCCTGGAGGAGCTGAAAGAGAGCACCGAGGTGTTGAGTAAGCCTCTTCGTCTTCCTCAGCGGCTTCGTGCTGGCCGTGGCGACTCCTGTGGCCTCCAAGTCTTCGATCTCATGACGCAAATTCAGGACCAATTAGCAGACGCGACGAACTTGAAGACGTTTCTCAAAGTCCTTGTAGGTGTTGTCAAGGAGCTCACTGGCTATCACCGCGTGGTAGTATATCAGTTTGATGCCTCACAAAACGGCAAAGTTGTAGCCGAGCTCGTCGATCCAGCCCATACGACTGACCTCTTCTACGGATTACACTTCCCCGCGACAGATATTCCAAAGCAAGCGCGTGAGCTCTACAAGATTAGCAAAACTCGTCTCATTTATGACCGCGATTTAGAAGCCGCACGGCTAGTCGGCCGTACCGTCGACGACCTCAAGGTTCCCTTGGACATGACGTATTGTTACCTCAGAGCCATGTCGCCCATCCACCTAAAATACCTCGCCAACATGTCCGTCCGCGCATCCATGTCTATATCGCTCAAGGTGTTTGGCGACCTATGGGGTCTCATCTCCTGCCATTGGTTTGGGAATCACGGCATGCGAAATCCCTTTCCCATAAGGAAAATGTGCAGGCTTATCAGCAATATCGCCTCGAGGAACATTGAGCGGCTGTCTTACGCTTCTTCTCTACAAGCCCAAAAGCTTATAAATACGCACCTGGTCGGCCGGAATCCTTCTGGTTATATCGCAGCTTCGTCGGAGGATCTCTTGCAGCTATTTGACGCCGACTTTGGAGTGGTATCAATTCTCGGGGAGACACAGGCGCTTGGGAAGATCTCACAGTCTCAGGAAGCGCTCGCTCTGTTGGAATACTTGCGTATGCGCAAGTTCTCGGACGTTATCACCTCAGATGATATCGTGAGGGACTTCCAGGATCTACATTACACTCCGGGTTTCTCGGTAATTTCTGGGCTCTTGTATGTGCCCTTGAGCGATGACGGCGACGGATTTATTGTCCTCTTCAGGAGAGGAGAAGCACAGGAAGTCAAGTGGGGCGGAAACCCCTTTGAGAAGGGTGTTGGGGCGGATGGTGCACCAGGGCTAGAGCCGCGATCGAGCTTCAAGCTATGGCGTGAGACTGTACTCGGGAGAAGCCGAGAGTGGACGAGCGATCAACTGGAGTTGGCGCGTGTGCTCTGTGTTGTCTATGGTAAGTTTTTTTTTCTTCCTTCTCTGTATCTCTCCAATAACCATTCCGGGTCGTAGTCGGAGGTCTACAATGGAACGTCAGTACTGACTCTCGGATTATAGGCAAGTTCATACAAGTATGGCGACAGCAGGAAGCCACATTGCAGAGCAACCGACTTACCAAGCTGCTCCTGGCGAATTCCGCTCATCAAGTCCGAACACCGTTGAATGCTATAATCAACTATCTCGAAATAGCCCTCGAAGGTACCCTTGACAAAGAAACGAGAGACAACCTAGCGCAGTCTCATTCGGCTTCAAAGTCCCTCGTCTATGTGATCAACGATTTGCTGGACCTGACCAAGGCCGAAGAGGGCCAAGTTTTGGCAAAGGAGGAGATTTTTGACCTTCATGAGTGCATCCGCCTTGCGATTGATTCGTTCGCGATCGATGCGAAGAGAAAGAAGCTTGAATTCTTTGTTGAAGAGGACCCATCCTTACCCCGGCAGGTGTACGGAGACAAATCGCAGTTGAGACAGGCCGTATCGAACCTCATCGCAAACGCTATTCAATATACTGATTCTGGATTCGTACGGGTCGAGTCATACGTCTCTGAGTCGCGCGATGGACGAGTGCGTATCGAGATCGCCGTGCGGGATTCTGGCGTGGGAATGTGCTCCGAGGAAATAGACGGCTTGTTCCACGACCTCGAGCAGGTCAACAACGAAAGGACCGCGAAGAAAGGCTCTGGGAAGGAGGATGCGGATACCAAGACTCACAAATTGGGCCTAGGTTTGGCGGTAGTTGGCCGTATCGTCCGAAACATGAACGGTCAGCTCCGTGTGCGGTCGACAGCTGGCCAAGGGTCATGTTTCGTGTTGCAGTTACCGTTCGACACACCCAAAGAGGAAGATGATGGTGACGGCCTTAGCGGAAGGATGGTGGACACCATTAATAATCTTACAGCCTTGGCGATTCAACCAGGGGAACAAAAACCGAATGATCTGGCGCCCGTGTCGAGAAGAACTCCGAGTTATGTGGATGTGGGCGAGGAAATGACTCTCGTTGGAAGAGACCGAAGGCCGTCGTTGCCCTATATCAAGGGGGGTCCCGAGGTCACCTCAGGCAACAACCGAAAGCATGGAGAGGCCGAGTCCGGAGACCAACTCCTGTTAAGCGCAAGCGATGACGGGTACAGTGGTGGATTTGTTATGCCTGCGCCGCCACCCATGGACGGCGCCCTGCAAGGACCTGAACCTCCCTGGCGAAAGGCGGAACAGACGCGTAGAAAAAATTCGGACGGGGAAGTCGAAGCTGCGCCATCACGGGCGTCGAGCCATACCATGTCGTCTTTGGGTATGGGCGCTACCGGGTGCAGTCTCCAGGTTCTCATCGCGGAGGATGACCCTATCAATATAAAGGTACTTCAAAAACGTCTCGAGAAGGCAGGCCACCAGATTTACCATGCTGTGAATGGCGAGGATTGCGCAGCAGTGTATCGTTCAGGCTCTCAAGGATTTGACGTCATCTTGATGGACATGCAGGTTTGTGATATCTAACCAAGTTTCCACTGTTGAGGATGCCGGCTAACGCATGTTGCTACCCAGATGCCCATCATGGATGGTATGACGAGCACAAGGACGATACGGCACTGGGAGGGGAAGCCAGAATACATGGGACTCTCACAATTAGCCAGCCGCAATGGGCAGATCCCAATCTTTGCCGTCTCGGCATCTCTAGTGGAGGAAGAGAGGACGACGTATATGGAAGCCGGCTTCGACGGGTGGATTCCAAAACCTATCAACTTTGAGCGGCTACAGATGCTCCTTTCTGGGATAGCTGATGAGGAGGCCCGGAGAAGTTGCCTGTACGCACCGGGGCACTGGGAAGGCGGTGGTTGGTTCCGGCCGACGCCGGGCTGGGAGGAAGGGTGTTGATATCAGGAGGATATTCGAACTGCTTCGGCTTTTTCACATACGCACCGACTGGTCCTCGGCAGTTCTAAAATCTAGGAAAGGAATTTTTTTTTTTTTTTTTGGGGGGGGGGGGGGGGGGGGGGGGGTTACCCTTGAATATAATGCGCGAGGAGAGTGATGTTTTGTTGATGTTGATGATGTCCCGTGGGAAGGCTTTTTCTTTTTGTTCCGGGCGATATGACAGTTGTATATGACGAAGACGCGAAGCTAATGAGCGCCCCGCGGGCAGGGATTTAATACAGGCAGACTTCATGTTGTTTGTAAATGTTCTTTCATCCTTCTTCTCGGGTGAAGAAGACTCGGGGTTCCAAGCCGCAAAGGACAAGACTGCTATGAAGATCCCAGAAAACTAAACTATATATCACGAAAAGCTAACTCGACAACAAACGAATAGAGCAAAAACCTACACGCGTTTAGCTATGTCCAAACATCTTGTTTCTATAAATCTCAAAAATGTGATGCCTCTAACGCCGGCTTCCGCTAGATAGTAGTCCTCCTCCTCCGACGAGCTAATACAGTAATGCAACAGCAGTTTTGTGGTATGAAAATGGCAAAGTGCAAAGTGGTATGTGGTATATCGCCATCCAACGGAACTGACATCAATGCTCTCCTGTTGTCTCCTTTTCCAACCCACGAAAAAAATAAAATAAATAAATAAAATGAAAAGACATAGAAAAAGAAATACCAAGTCTGAAAAGACAATGTAAACGAGGGAAGAAACCCCACTGCAGATTAGACAAGAAAACAAAAAAGAGAAAAAAAAAAGAAAAAAAAAGGAAATGGGGAAAACAAGGAAAATTAATAGTTCTCCTCCTTGATGTTATGCTCCCCAACAATCATCAAAAACACCTTATCCAACGTCGTAGGACTAACGCTAAAATGCTCGATACCCAGCGCCTCCCTATTCTCCTCGAGCTCGACGACGAGTTTCCCGATCGCGCTCTTGGACGCCGCGTCGACGGCGGGCGAGATCTCGTGCGGGCCCATGATGCCGCTTTGGGAAGGAGAAGGAGCTGAAGTAGAAGGAGGAGTATTGTTCTTTCCGAGGACGGCGCTGGCGGGGAGAGAGAAGCGCATCTGTCCGTGGTACGTCTTCTCCTCGACCTCGGCCTCGGGGAACCTCCAACGAACCCAATCGCGCACTCTTTGCATCTCCGCCTCGGGCGTCCGCGGCGCCGTCTTGCTAACGAGGTGTACGTGGAGGATATTCCCGAACCGGGCACGCAGCTCGTCGATGGTACCGAGGGCGAGCATGGACTTGGCGAGGATGCCGACGCGTCCCGCAAGGGCGTCCGCCTCTTCCATGCTGTGGGTGGTGAGGAGGATGGAGCGCCCCGCGACGGTTGCCTTGAGGGTATTCCACATGATGCGCTTGGCTGCGGCGTCGAGGCCGGACGAGGGCTCGTCGAGGAGCACGACAGTAGGGTTCCCCATGAGTGCAATGCCGAGGGAGAGCTTCCGCTTGTTGCCGCCGGATAGGGTATGGGCCATGCGGGACGCGAAGGGCGCGAGCCCGACAGCGCGGAGGACCGCGCGGACGTTATACTGAAGGTCAGAGACACCCCGCACGCGCGCATAGAACTCGAGGTGCTCGCGCACTGTCATCTTATCTATGGGGTCGAACTGGGGACACACGCCCAGGTGGCTACGCGCGCCTGCGAGGTCGTGCGTCACCGACTTGCCCTCGACGAGCACATCTCCGCCGTTCCTGTCGGGGGCAATGTCGCCCCGGATGAGCGAGATGGTCGTGGACTTGCCAGCGCCGTTGGGGCCTAGAAGCGCGAAGACCTCGCCGCGGCGGACGTCGAAGGTGACGTCTTCGACGGCCGTGAGGCGCTTTTTGAAGAGCGGCTTGAAAGATTTCTTGAGGTTCATGACGATCAGGGGCAGTCTTGTGTCGCGGGCTACTTCCTCGTCGACGGTGGATGGTGGTGGAGGTGGGGCCTCACCCTTGCCACCCCGGGCGATGAAGCTGCGTCTGAACCAGGAGCCGAAAGAGCCGCTGTCAACAATAACAAGGATGATGAAGTAGATGAGAGCCTGGACGATGAGGTAAAGAATCGGCCCGCCGTACATGTTGATGCCACTGGGGTTGGTCGAAATATTGTCGCCGTCACATGTCGTCGAGAAGATGTTGAGCGTGACGAATAAGGCTCGGACGACGCTGCCAATGGGCGACAGGAGTGAAAGGGTGTAGTTAATGATGAGGAAGTAGCTGTCGACCTTCGTGACGGGCGCATACGATAGGGTCGCCATGTAGCCGATGAGGTAGCCGACAAAAGTAAGGGCCTGTATGCCGGTGATCCACCCAAACGTCGCCAACTGGCCCGTGGCAAATAATGAAATGACATAACCCAGAAGAGTGGACGCGAGCGAATACAAGACAAGGACGAGGAAGATGTAGCCGATGTGGTACCAGATATCAGAGACGGCCACCCAGATAATTGTGATAATGGCGGCACCCACAATGCCGATGCCTAAGTCGAACATGGTATAAGCAGCCCACAACGGCGTCGGGCGAACACCGTTGGAGTACTCCAGGCCACGAACGAGATGAAGTCTCTCCACGTTGGGGTAAAGTGCAAGGAAGCCAGGCGTTAGAACAAGGGCGATGCACATGTAGGCGACGAGCTGGATCGAATCGGTGGCGATGGAAGCCCAGGGGATATCGAACGGTTCGTACTGAGTGACGATCGTCTGATTCGCGAGGATGACGTCGAGGAAGTTGAGGGCATACAGGGTCGACGTGATGAAACCGTTGGCGCGGAAGGCCAGCGTAGGTTGGGATCCAGAAGCTCCCAGCCAGAAACCACCGGGGAAGATGTCCTGCCTCTTCTCCTCGATAACGCTTTTGAAGGTGTCGAAGGAGTCCTCAAAAGTGACATTTTGGAGCATAGCACCCATAAGACCGGACGCGGCGCCGCCGCTGAGATCTACGCCGAGCTGGCCGAATAGAGTCGTCAGAGAGGGTGTCAGGAGTTGGATGGCGTTCACCTCGTTCAGCTCATTCGTCGGGCCGGCAACAAGGCCGAATGGGAAGTCGCGGTCCGCGAATTCGTCTTCGTTGCCTCCTTGACGGGTGACCTCGGCGGGCGAGCACCCCACGGGCTGTTCGCCCTTGATAAAGAGGGTGACAAGTCCGGCGGCGGCGACGGGGAGGACAAAGGCGGTGATGTAGGGAACCCAGTTCGTCTTGAATACGGTAAAGCGCTTCCGGAAGAGAACACCGGCCTGTTGGAAGAATCCGAGGGGTTTTCCGTCAAGTAGATGGACGCCGTCACCATTGATGGGCGCAACGGCGGCTGCAGTGGCGGGTTCCGACGTTACGGTTTTCTTTTCCTCAGTTACCTCCTCCTCGCTGGCCATTTCGTGAACTTCTTCGGCAAGATTCAAGAAAACATCTTCAATGGTGGGGCCCGAGAAGCGGTAGTCCGAGATGCCGTGGGCCTCGAGGGACTTGATAACATCGGCCGCTAGGGCGGACGAGGGCGCAACGTAGGTCACCACGTCGAAAGCTACAGTCTTCTCAACGCCGGCGACATAGGGAGTCTCAGAAGGCTCGACGCCGTCGACGTGGACACGATATCCGGCTCCGTACCGATCCTTGAGCACGACGGGAGAACCTTCGGCACGGAGAGTGCCCTTGGACAAGATGGCGATGTGGTCGGCGAGGAGGTCGGCTTCGTCGAGGAAGTGCGTCGTCAGGAAAATGGTGCGCTTTCCTCTCTCGGCAAGCAAGATATCCCAAATTTGTCGGCGACTGAGGGGATCGATGCCGCTACTAACTTCGTCAACGCAGCAGACGGCGCTGCCACCCGTCAACATCATACCGAGCTGAAGTTTCCTCTTCTGACCGCCGGAGAGAGTCTTAGCGAGGGCCTTTCGCTTCTTCTCCAGATCGATGGACTTGATGAGCTCTCGAATTTCCTGCTTGGAGGCGTGATTTCCGGGGGACTTGAGCCTGTTGAAGATGGTAATGTGCTGCTCGACTGTCAGTTCGCCCCAAAGCACGTTCTTCTGCGGGGCGATGCCGAGACCTCCGCTACCGTCAATCTTGATGGAACCGCTCGTGAGTTTGTTCATCCCGGCAATCGTATCGAGCGTGGTGCTCTTGCCGCTACCATTAGCGCCGAGGAGGGCGACAATCTGGCCGCGGCCGGCAACGAGGCTGAGGTTGTCGACAGCAACGACGGGCTCCCTTAGGGGGAAGAGGAAAGAGAACCAGCGAGCGAGCGTTGACGGCTTGTACACCTTGGTAAAGTTGTCCAGACGCACGGCGACGTCACCCATGTCCTGGCCCTCGCTCGCGGCCAGAGCCATAGACCTGCCCTTGGTAGTGGTACCGTAGAGCCTCGACTCGACAAAGGCGCCGAGCAGCGGGAAAACGATGATTTGACCGATGGCAATGATCCAGAACACACCACCAGCGAGGTTCCAGGGACTGTCGGGAGCGACCTCGAGGAGATTGGCAGGCATATCCTGCCTCTCGAAGCGAGCCATGAAGGTGGCATGGTAAACGTAGTTGCAAGCGGGGAAGAGAAGGCTGAGAATAAAGACGGGACCTGTCGAGGGGCGGGTAAGGGCCTGGGACAGGATGGCAAAGACAACAGTGATGAGGAAGGTGACGTTTGCGCTTAGCTGGGCCTGGTTGAAGAAGGACGAGGCGAAGAGCGACATGGAGGCCATGGAGAGACCAGATAGGATTTGCCAGACGAGAACGATGGCGATGCTCGTGTTGGTATAGACGCCGAACCTCATGATAAACGCGCCGATGACCCAGCCTGGAAGGTAAATGACGGAAAATGTGACAAAGTAGGAGACGATCCTAGAGGCCTGAGCATGCCACCTCCGGCTTACAGGCATCATGGCATCAAGCAGTCGAATCATGCCGCTTTCGCGCTCGGTGACGACGAAACCGGCTAGATGGTAGGTGATGAAGAGGATGCTGGTGACGAAAAGCA